TCCATCCATCCATCCATCCATCCATCCATCCATCCATCCATCCATCCATCCATCCATCCATCCATCCATCCATCCATCCATCCATCCATCCACCTCCACTGGCTCCTCTCGATGTGGAGGAGCAGCAGCTCTACTCTGAGCTCCTCCCCCGTCTCTAAGGCAGAGCCCAGACGCACTACGGAGAAAACTAATTTCTTCGCTCGCATCCAAAATCTATCATCTAAAAATTCCTGTTATTTGAAAACTGAGCACTGCTAATGAATTCATCTAGGATTAACGGAAGCAGACTGTCTTTCTGCCTTTTCCTGCTCTGAACTGGGACTGTGTGACATAGCTGAAAAATCTACCACAATAAAAACATTTTATATCAGTAGATATCGATATCTATCAATTACTGTTTTGTTTACCTTTTTAAAATAACACCAAAGAAAACCATTTAAACGTAACCATATCTATCCATGACAGTCTGTGTTACTGAGGTTAAAATCCACAAAGGAAAGTTTTTTAAAACATATGATGCATGGTGTGTTGCTCTAAAAAATGTATCTTATGACCTCCTCACCTTATGCTGATGATATTCAGGTTTATTTCAGTTTTGAATCAAAATGACTTCTCTAAGCTCATTGCTGAGGTATTTTTCATTGTCCTGGTTTGAACTCGTCTGTCTGCTCCAAACCACCAATCCCTCCGTTTCTAGATGTAGCAGCATCGCTGGTGATCAGGTCAACATGAACACCTTCATTAGTAACACCTGGTTACTCATTTCTTTTTAAGTCTTAAAGCAAACAGCAGAGGGACGCTTTTAATGCTTGTCATTCTCTGCACAAAAGTGCAAAAAACAGTAAATATACTCATTTTAATAAATGATTGGTCATTATCAGAATGTTTTTCCTTCTTAACTGCAAAATGTGCGGTTAAGAAGGAAATCACCCTGCAAAAACATTCTTTTTTTTTTTTTATCAGTGTCCTGTCTGGCAATGTGGCAATAAGAATAATTGTCTTGATGCCAAAAGGAGCCCAACAGATTTTACTTTCACAAGTGGAGCAGAATGGCAATTGCCATACTGCTCCACTTGTTTCATGCATATAAATTGCTTTATTATAATTATGCAGGGAGTTTTACAGTTTATATGGACACTGCAATGTAAGTAGAGCAGAAAAAAAGAAGAAGAAAAAGGAAAAAAAGAAAAGATGAAAGGAGATAATGACAAAACATTTTAAGTCTGCTTCATCACCTGCAACGAGATGTAAGAAAACATGCAAAAACATTCTTATAATGAGCAATCATTTCTCAAAATAAGTATATTTACACTTAATTTGTAAGAAAATAAGATGATCTGCTAATGGAATTAACTTTTATTACCCTTAAAATAAGATAATTAAATATTATGCACTTGAAATAAGACAATGTAATTATCTCTTTTAAAGGGAAATTGTCTTGTTCCGTTGGGAAAGTATCTCACTTACCTCCTCAATAACAAAAAAATGCACTTATTTAAAAAAAAGGAGTTACCTAGATTTAAATGATTTGCAGTGCAGGATTGGGTCTGATATTTGGTCCGTTTGCAGAGTCAGGCTGTTTTTCTATTCTACTGAGAATGGCAGTCTTTAGGGCAAGTCTATGTGATGCTTTTTTAGTTATATTTCAGTGTTTTTTTATTTTTCTTTTCTGCAAAGCAATTATTAATTATAATTAAGATCTAGAGATGGTTTGGTGGAATGCAAGAACATTTTTCTGAGAAATGAATCCCAGTTTAGCTGAGAAGCTTTCAGACCTTGCAGTGAAGCATCTGTTTTGGTTTAGTGTTCGTAACCTGAAGGCTGTTCCGATGCAAACAACTCTCCTTCCCGTCGGGGAAAAGTGGAGAAAAAGCAGGAAATAGATTTGATTTTAGAAACGGATCAGTTGAAGGTTTCTCTGTCTGTCTGTTGCACGCTCGGTGATTTACTCAGAGTTGTTGTAATTGTTCAAGTCTCAAAGGGAATCAGCTTCCAGGTTCATCCTGCAGGTTGAACTCTGACCTCCATCCCTGCTGACCTTTGGCTCTGGAGGTCGTTGTGATGAGCAGCGTTGAACCAGAATGAAGCAGATATTTATGGTGGAAGTTCATGAGGTTGTAGATTAGCCACATCCAACTAGAGGGAAAAAAACAAAGCGAAACCTGAACACAAATGTTTGAAAAATAAGAGTAAACGAGGAGCTGAAAGGTGAAAAAACAGAAATAATGGACAAAAACAGACCATGGGAATTCACTTTAGGGTTTAAAGAGATTTTAAAAGTGCAGATTTTCACACAGTTAAGCTATAAGTAGATCCGACTTTAACCTAAGATTAACCCCTGGTTAGCATTGTGAAGTCTTTAACGTTTGTTTGTAGTTACGTATTTGACCAAATTCCTTAAAGAAAAAGGAATAAAGATTCCAAAAAAGTTAAAATCAATCCTCTGGACTTTGTTTCC